TCGACTTCCCTTGTCTAGGCTTGGGCAACCTGGCAGTATCCCAGCCCTCGTGCTTCCTTCGGGTGGCATGGCAGCTAGGCACCGGAAGGGTGCCCCAGCTGAACGCTTTCTTTCTTTCTAAGGTGTCTGCGTCATTCTAGTAACCCATCAAAGTCGCAATGATTGCACAGTGCCACTGATATCGATCGTTCAGCCTATTAGTTTTACATACAGGACCGAACTGGTGGCGAATAGCCAATGACATTTTCTGTAGTGTTTATTCTGAGCCAGACTAATCTAATTTTGGTATGGTTGCGTAACATCTTACATTTATTAGGGTAAAAATGTTCAAATAATACTATAATAAATAATCGTTCAGCCGTAAAGCCCTTTCGGTGTCCAGCTGCCATGCCCCCCCCCGAAGGAAGCACGAGGACTAGAATACTGCTAGGTTACCCAAGTCTAGACAGGGGAAATCGAGATGCAGAGGTCGGTTTCGAACCACGGATCTTTTAGATAGTAAATTCGCGCTCTTGCCACTCGCTCCTCTCTACATAGATCTGGGTTTCAATCCTTTCTTGGATTATTTGTCCACAGTATGGCAGTCTGTTGGCTAAAGCATGTGCTTTCTCACCTAAGAATGGCTTTCGGATACTAATCCTTTTTTGTGTAAAAAAAATTCGAAAAGCCCTCGCCCTTGTCCTACTTAGGCTCTTTTATGGGCGTCGCTGTATGGTTCGGAGTGGCCTGCATTGGGCTACCCCGACCTAAACAAAACGAAAATGGATATATTCGCTAGGAATCTGTAGAATAGCTTGGGATTTTTCATACATTCCATTCTTGAAGCATAAAGGTTAGGATACTTCTTTTGTGTGCATAAATCGATCAGTCTGACAGGAGCCGTTTCACAATTGTTTTCCGGGCCTCACAACTTACTGTGATTCTGCAGGCACGTGAACGGTCGTGACCGAGTGTCTGAACCATTTCTTACCTTTTTATCGGTCCAGTGACGCTTACGACCCGTTTGTGGGTTGTGATACAAAATTTTGTGAAGCAATAAGTTTCCATGCTGATGTTCCCAACTAATAATTTTTCCGCGATGTTTGGTTTAAACCGACCATCACTGTTTTTGGTCTCCGTGACGATGCTAACCATCGGCGCGTTATTGCTTGTTCTCAGTGCTCACTTCGCTTTGAAGGAGGTTGGCCCCTTTTACTTTTCGCACTCGTTTCACATGGAGATGTGCACTATGATTGTAAGGCAGCGGTCAACTTTTCTGCACTTGTGTCTCCAGACTCTCATTCTTTCATCTGATTGCTTTCAGGGTCTAGCTCTGGCCAAACGGATCAACGCTTATAAGTACCTGGAATGTTCCGCTCTAACCCAGAAGGGTTTGAAAGCCGTTTTTGATGAGGCCATTCGAGCCGTACTGATCCCTGCGGAGAAACCGAAAAAGCAGCGGTGCACACTACTTTGAACAGCCCTTAACTCCATCCCCAAACGATTGTGATGCACGTGCTCTCTCAGTTGGTCGATGCCCCCCTGTCCCGATCCATCCCCGTATGGGTGACTTCTCGTTCCACACAGAGCATACACGCAATGAGGTAATGTGAAGTTGCATATACACAACATGCCTGTTAACTTTGCTCTTTTCGCGAATTGTGGAGACATCCCACTTCAATGAACAGCCCATTTTACATGCATCAATCTCACGCATCCATAACCATCTCCGCCTTCGTCTCTCCGTGTGGATCTGTCATCGGTGATCATCACAGCAGTTCTATACAGTAGAATGACCTATTGCGGGTAACAGTACTACTTCAGCATGGTCGGAATTTTATATCTCTCACACGTTAACGGTGTTTTACCATATCCTTCTTGTGTACCCTTCCCTCTGACCCCTTGGCTATCGCGTTGTGGATACCAACCCCAATCTCATTTTCACCTTCATTTCGCAGCAAACTTTGCGCTACTACACGCAACCAACGCGTTTTCTTTGTTTGTCTTCAATTGTGAAACATCGTTTGGTGTCCGGATTTCCTGGTGCCTGCGTTCGTGTTAGTTGATTGTATTACTTACTTACTTACTGCCTTGTATTGTTCATATGACATAATACCGGTTTTTCCACCTGGTCCACGATTCCGATTACTGCTTTTCCACGTTGTGTCTGTTGCCCAGTGCTGCTCTGAATTTCCGGTACGGGTTTGTTTTGTAGCCGAAAAACTCCATGTCTTCTTTTGAGGAGCTCGCGTTCGAAGGCTGCTTATTTTTCCACTGGTCGCCGGCAGATAAATGCCGGGGTCGCAAACCGTTCCGTTTGCTGCTGCTATTCACACAGATTTTCAAATACGGCTGCTTCCATTTTTGCGAACTATGCCTCTCAAACACTACTTGATTTAGTGTACATTTCTATTTTGCATGAGTCCCTCGCTGTCGTCTCCCCGCCCACGCCTTGCCCCCCCCCCCACGTCACCCTCCTACCTTGGACGATCTGCTTGCTTTAACTTGTTAGCTGTGTTCTTTTGTGGATGGCGCTTGAGCCAGTTTTTTGGGTTCACGATTGATTTACTCCGCTCTGCTCTTTGCTATTCATGACTTGCGATTATTTCGGAATATTTTGATCAAAAGCCTCTGATTACGGACACTGTGTATTATTAACACTAATACTACTACAACTATCCATAATACTACCAAAATTTTGGTTCGCTCTCTACTGCTTCTTTGTTGTTCGCGGCATGTCATGGCGTTCTGTGGGGGATACTTATTTGTGGCCGTGCTGCTGCTAAGAGAAAATAAAGATAGTCTTTCAACTGTAGCACCCTTTCGGTGCCTAGCTGCCATGCCACCCACAGGGATCGCGAGGGTGTCAGTTTGCCCAAACCTAGACAGGAGAAGTCGAGAGGCAGAGGTCGTGTTCGAACAACGGACCTTCCGGTCAGTAGATTCGCGCTCTAACCACTTGAGCCATCTCGCCCCTCGTGCTGTTTCTGCAATCTGTTCGTTCAGTAGCAAATGCTTGGAGATGTTCGAACTATCCTACGCGGTCACTTCAGCTTCTGAGTTGTGGGCCTAAAGCCAAGCCGAAAGATTAGCAGCTCGAGTCCTTCGCTAATGGTTTTGCCTCTCTTGTAGTGAACAACTTAGTAGAAGCCTCGGTCCCGTGCTGCTTAGGATTCGCATAGCAGCCGTGCATCCTGAGTTTTACTCAATGCATGGGTTCATTATCTTTAGATGTCCCAGAACCTATTGTCTTGCTTAGGGAGCTCAGTGTTCAACTTGATTGTCTGCGGATAAGTTTGCGAGACCACTGACAGTCCAATAAACTGATGATGGCGGACGTAAGGATTATTCTACTAAAGCAAACCTTACCAATTGTGTTTTAGTCCCTGAACTCTCATGAAATGTGGGGCCTGTTTTTGACGTGTGCACCATGGTGCTTATCACATTGGATCAATGTTCGCCGCACCCTGTGATTTGTGTATTTACGGTGAGTTATTATCAGATGGGAGCCAGGGCCGCGACTTCGCACACCGCGTAGGTGGTTTACGATTGATGTTTCTGTTTTAAACTGGTCATCGGTAGATTTAAATGTTCAGTAGTTCTGGGTGGTAGTTTCGTCCACCGATAATGTGGGGAATGTAGTAGCTAGATGGCTATCAACGGGAGACAGTTCATGATGAATGGCATCCGTTCTTCAACGTTCAACGTAAAACATCCAAATCCTCAACAACACCGAGGGCAGCTACCCACTAAAGTTGCGGTCGAGTTCGATTTGATACCCATAGGGTGAGACGCTATCACGGCCGCTTCGCACGTCCAGTCGATGAATATCTGTGGTCTGTGGACGATGCTGGTGGATTCAGCCAGTGATGTTTCTAGGTTCCTAGGTGTTCCCGAGCATGAGTGGTACCCAGTTAGGCTCTCGTTTCTGGAATTTGAAAGGTTTTACGGGCTTTCTCGTTACCGTCAGTGAATATAGATAGATGGTTGGGTTTGTATGCCAACACTTGAGCCAAGTGTTGGTATTGCCCTTGAATGTATTACATCGATAACTCTATCCGACCTGATTCCAGCCGTTTATTGCTAGCTCTGCACGATGACGCGAAGTGGGAGTTTCCGAGGGCCGTGAGTAGCCATGCAAGTATTTGGAGTGGAAAACAAGCACCTAATTCTGCATCTGATGGTCCATCAGGGGCTCCGGGATCCTCTACGTCCAAAAAGGTGAACACAATGGAGTCCTCCTCTTGGACAAGTAGAATGCAATTCAGGTACGAAATCACGTACAGAGTCAAGAGCTTCAGCATAAAGTACGACGCATAGGTGCAATGTGTACGGTTCATGTCGATTCAGTTCCACCGCAGTGGGGTAGAGGTTACATTTCGCTGTAGCCAAAGTTACAGCAGGGGTTCCTTTGTGGTTCGGGAATTCAATTCTCGGGAAGATGAAATCAACTCAGACAACACTTCGATTCCTGCCACGTTAAAATCATCGTTTCATGTCAAGGTCACTCAGATTGTCGGTGAGAACGGTGACACATTGATTGATACTGTCCTAATGATGAATTTTTCCTCTCCCTCTGATATGCGATTGTCAGGTACAGAATAGAGTTCTGCGTATATCAACTAAAAAGTGACCATATATTGTATGTCCAGAGTTCGAGTGTTCCCAGTTGAATGGTAGCGGAGAAACTCGGAAAACGAATAGCTCTGGCGAAATTCTACAGTTTGTTTGGTCCTCCTGGTTATCGATAGGTAGTTTAGTAGGTTTTGCTTAGCTAGCACGTGGCGTTTTTTCCAACCACTTTCGGGTGTATCGATACTGTATTATCTTATCCTAAGGATGAAACTGAAGACGTTACGCTTAGAGTTACTATGAGTGGTTATTGTGCCCTGGGTCGGTTCGAATGTGTGACAATGCACAGTAGGGCTTCACTATTTCTGCGTACGTCGCTATTACTATTTGGACCAGTCGATGTTGGTACACGAAGATTTACTCTGTCGGAAAACTGCTGGATGTACAAATGATAAAACCTATCGGGTATGTTGGATGACCCTGTTGCCAGGGAATTGAACCTTACCGGCTTGTGCAAATTTGTATAACTGTATACCCAGTAATTTGGGCCGTGGGCGTCCACCTGACAGTCGAATTCTCATGCCAGTCATCGACATCGACAGCATGACATCAGTGTTCAACACCGATGCTTCACTGCCTTATTGTAAAGTAAAGAGTAAAGGTGGACAGGGAAGGGACTTAGTGCTAGCTTAACACAATCATTCCGAGGTGCCTACACCTCCAGACACTCACTCAGGCGATCTGAATAGAAACTGACAACAAGAACGCCACTGACATCGGTTGGCAGCCATATCTTATAGTGTCTCCAACCAGGCACAGTGAGGATCACGCGGTCCCCATCCTGGAAAGCGAGTAGCACCGACAGCACCCAAGCGTTTCGCGATCTTCATACTCCTGTGCCAAGTCAATGGTTCCTGCTGGATGTACAAATGATAAAACCTATCGGGTATGTTGGATGACCCTGTTGCCAGGGAATTGAACCTTACCGGCTTGTGCAAATTTGTATAACTGTATACCCAGTAATTTGGGCCGTGGGCGTCCACCTGACAGTCGAATTCTCATGCCAGTCATCGACATCGACAGCATGACATCAGTGTTCAACACCGATGCTTCACTGCCTTATTGTAAAGTAAAGAGTAAAGGTGGACAGGGAAGGGACTTAGTGCTAGCTTAACACAATCATTCCGAGGTGCCTACACCTCCAGACACTCACTCAGGCGATCTGAATAGAAACTGGCAACAAGAACGCCACTGACATCGGTTGGCAGCCATATCTTATAGTGTCTCCAACCAGGCACCACCTCATCTGTCACACTACAATCAGAACTAATACAACTTTCAAGATATGTAAAACGCTCCACAGCTTCCAGTACCTCTCCCTGGATTGTAAGTGGTGTGTTCAGTGACTGCACGTCCACGAGCATGACCTTACACTTTGCGGGTGCAAAGTGTACACAAAAGGACGGGATGACTTTGGTCAGTTCATCCAAGAATACTTGCGCCTTCTCCGCCTCTTCGAACATGAGAACAATGTCGTCTGCATATTCCAGATCGACAAGGCTTTCTTCACAGGCTATTTGAACACCAGGATTTTGGAGACCCTCCAGCGTTCGTCTGATTATTTCATCGATCACAAAGTTAAAAAGGAATGGAGAGAGTGGGCATCCCTGACGGACACCGCTTTGTGTGCGGAAGCTTTTGGAGAGCTCTCCGTACACTCTCACACGTCCGGAAGTCTGAGAATACATGACGGGATGGTCAGTGGATAGTGATCAGTATAATGCACTATCCTGGTCTCCTGGTTAGGAGTTCGAGCGTGTTTAACGACTTGTCCCTCAGATGCTGAACTGCGGTCGATAAATGATAGTCTCATTTTTCCAATTGTTTTTTGAATCCTTATGAGCAGAATTTGCCAGATAAGCATGCTCTGTTTGTGCCCTCTCGGTTCTGTAGTCTACCGAGTGTTTTCTAGACTTCTCTGAAACGCCGACTTTTTCCTCGTTCCAGGCGTTTTCCAGCTGACTAAATGCAACTCATCATTTGTTTTTCGAATCGCTCGCTGAAAATTGAGCATTAGTCTAATCTGTAAAATCTGAAAAATGGTAAGTTGCGGTTGTGGCAGTTGGCCATTACTGCGTTTCCATCGTGTACACGATGCGCGCGATAGGCAGAAGGGACAGTGCCTGCACAGCAGCGGCACCAGCCTCTTCGCTTCAGCTAACGACATACCATGAAACCGCAGTGCGTGTAATGGTCGAGGTCCCAACATGTAACCAAACGATAAGAGGTCACCCGGCGGTGACTGGTCCACAAAAATTATTGTTCCTGTCTTTGATTCTAATTTCAATCATTCCACTTGTAAATTGGTTTTTCTTCTGGAAGCTAACAAAGTAACACGAAATTCTATACGCGTGGATTAGCCTATTAAAGCAGTAGACAAACTTGTCTACCTTGGACAGCTATATCGGTCCGGTTGGTCTAGCCAAAGATGCTATTTCCATTCAGATTGGAAAAGCCAGACGTCGCGCCATGGTGTGGGTGTGACGTCAACTTATCTCTCAGTGGTCGAGCTTACAATGCTTCGGTGCTCTGCATAGTGCTATACGAGTCAAAAACCTGGCCGCTGTGCGCTGAGGTCGTTTGAAACTCTTAGTGCTTGACCATCAGAACTAGATCGCTCACGATAGATGAACTGATCACAATCCTTAGGCTACTCTGGCTTCAGCCAACCGACTTGCTCAAAAAGCCCTTTCCGCACATCCTCGTGAAGGGTGGAAATGATTCAGAGGAAGCAAACAATGACTTGGCAGCAAATTACGAAAATCATTGTCAGAAAGCTCAGCTGCACTGTTCATTGCCACCTCCTTGGATGGGGACTCAGAGACGGGACACTTTAATGGTTAGAGACATTGTCAGACATGGTGGCACGCATGCATCCAAGCTGTTGCTTTCAATGTACTGAACGCTACCTTTCAGGTGGCTGGATGTATTTTCCACTCCAGAGCACTTTATACTGTCCGCTAGCAATGATGGAATGTAACAAAACAACCGATCAGTGCAGACATTTAGTTTCTAGTCAGCTAGAGTTGATTGCCTTGAATTTTTTTGTCAAATGGGGAAAGACGTGGTTAGATTTGTCTTCCCTATCGTTGCTAGTGAAAGGAAGAAGGCCTTCGCTGCGGAGTTTTTATTAGAAAATGCTAACTGATCAGTTACAGACTATCGGACAGGGGAGCAAAACTGTCGTGCGAAACTCTCTCACAAAAATTGGATATCCATCTTCCCTTTGAATGCGTCTTCCTGAACTTTCCTGGATATTCATTGACTGTTGCTCAAATCCAAGCAAATGCTACAAAGCGACTCCACAAATTCAATAAACGCAAAGCTGATTTACGAGAAAACATACTACTCGCGTGCCTTCCCCACCAGTAGTATCACCGTTACACAAGTATTCCGGACCTTGGGTACATTGGTAACGTCGACAGTCCAGCGTTCCGAGTTAACACCCAGTCCACCTACACCATCAATAAATTACGCCCCCCACCCATTTCTTACGAATAGTGTGAATGCACAATTGGAGCGACAATAATTGACGTGCTTTCCTACGTTTCGAGAATAGTCATTTAAAAGTGGACATTGACTGGGGGTGACAACAAACACGAACGAAAATTGGTTTGTGGTACGTTCATGTGCACGAAAGCGGTTAGGCAGCATGCACGTGCCTTTAGCACGGGAGAAAATCGATAAAAACCGATGAGACCAAATGCATTCTGCTTCGTCCTGTAAGTTGAACATCTTACTTTCGGTAGCTGTCTGGAGCAGTTTACTGGTGTGGATCTAAGAAGCATTTCAGGCGAACAGCTGATTTTATAACCATGGTTTGGGTGGCCCCGTTTCATTCCTGATTGGACGAGATATCCGTTTTCCGCACTTTGTCCTTGTCTGAATGACACTCACCTGAGGAATGCAGTTCTTTTTATAGACTGATGGTTTTTGTGAATTCCCTAGGGTTTGATAACATACATGGTCAGTGGTAGTCCAAGGCAACTACTCTAGCCCGTCAGTACCACTCTATCCTCCAGTTCGTTTCAAAGTTGTAATTTGGCACTGTGTATAATTGTTACTCAATCTACATGAAATACCGAACGATTTCTTTGATGGTTTGGTTGATTTTGTAGTGTATTTCATTCCGTGCGAGTTATTTTCTGAAATTCGTTCAAATCCTGTCTGTGCTCCGAATGCGTGCGTCGCCAGAATTATCGATCGATGCGGAACCCCAAAACTGACTAGTGTAGCTGATGACTCAAGAGTTTACGGCGTACAGTTGAACTATTCGGGGAGCTAGGCAGGTTCCGGACTCAAGAGTTTACGGCGTACAGTTGAACTAGGCAGGTTCCGGCTACACCTACAGCGGTTGGCTTCCACAGCTGTGACCAAGTGGATCACCATAACAGCCTTGATTGCGATCCACTTCCACCTCTGAAGTAATTCCGATGGTAATTTTCAAGTCATTTGAGAGATTTTGATAAAAAGTCAGTCATTCACTTCATTTGGTAACCCCACATCGGGCCTTCTGTAACCTATTCATGTGAGACAGAAAATGCGCTACAAAATGAGTTGTGACTACCGACTTAAACACATGATCGATATCGTCTGGTGTGCTTCGAATCCCTTAATTTAACATTACCGGCTGTCTGGTGTGACGAGGTCATAGAGCATCTTTCGCAGAGTATTTGAACCAAACCTAGTGGTCTGGTTAAACAATCAACCAAAAAAGACAACCTTTTTCTCCCCAGGAGCTTGTAATCAACTTTCACGTGCGTTCCATTGGCCCATGAGCGTTTCTGTGACAGACTGTGTGGAAATACCTAGCCGGAGATCGGGAAGAAGTGTAATGTTTCTGGGTACGTCACTGGAGTGATCTCGGCATATCGGGTCCTGAACATGACCAAATCACGATGTTCAACATGTCTGATATTTACAAAGTAATCTGGAAATTTGTTAGATCATGGAAACAAAGACTGCATCGAAAGCAGTGCCCATCATAAACCTCCAAGAAGTGTCTGTATGCGTACTGTCAACAGCGTTCTTTTACGGAACGGCTTGCTATGAAGTGTGAATGAAATGCAGTTTAGCTCTCGTACACTTGAGTATTCCTCGTTAGTCTAATCTGAGTCGCAAGACTGAACCTATACAAGTGTAACGATGGATATTACTGATGAACCATGCGAGTAGTCTATGGTTAGTGGGTAAGTCTCCGCTCTGCACCTCATGGAAGGTGAAGTTTATCGAGGAAATTGTGGAACCGCTTTGCAGTATTCGTTTACTATCGTTTAATAGTCAATACACATTCAGCAAAAGTTCAAGAGTTCAGCTTTTATATGGTATTTTTACTTCCCTGTATAATGAGTCGAGATGGCCCATGTGGTTAGGGCGCGAATTTACTGACCGGAAGGTCCGTGGTTCGACCCCGACCTCTGTCTCTCGACCACCCATGACTAGGCTTGGGCAACCTGGCAGTATTCCACCCCTCGTGCTTCCTTCAGGTGGCATGACAATTGGGCACCGAAAGGGTGCGACAACTGAACGGTTTTTTTAATGACTTGTAACGGCTTAGTTCATGTTGGCTAATTAATGACATCTTAGCTTTCCGCCTTCCAACAGTATTCAAACTCATTGTTAGACTCACCGCTCATTAATTCGATGGGAGCTACACGCTATCAGTGGTGTGCTTTAGAGTGCAGAGAAACACATGATCAACCAACAACTGCAATATTTGGGCAAGTGGTTC